GCTGATGACATGAAAACATTTATAAATGAAGACTGCATTGGTGGATGACTTGTCCTTGGTACAAGTCCTTGTTACTGAACTGTTTTTTTTCTGTATAATCACAAATCGTTTAGTAAATAAACTTCACTTTGACACTGTATGTCACGCGGAAGCTCGCTGTACATCAAATCAAAGCTTACGGTCTCTACGGCCCCATTCCAAAAGGAATAAAATTGTCCGGATCGAGTCGCATTGATTCGCTTTGACCCCGCTTTGACCCGGCTTTGGCCGTGTTTATGTGAAGTCACCCAAGGCGCTTTACGTGTGGTTTACCCCGAAACCGGTTTTAAGTGGCTCCATCTGAACGCTCCAAATCACATTGACTAGCGCCTCGATCCCAAGCCACTTCTAGGGGTAGTTTCGAATCGGTTTTCCCGCATCGCGATTTGCGTCTGAACGCAATGTGATTTCAATGTAACTCCGCCTGGTCATGGATTACGGGTTGATATTTCTTTATTTATATGCAATACCAAATTTTACGTGGCAGCAACTTAAAGAGCAGTAATGGTCAAATAATGTGTCCGTTCTAGGACGAGTTTCACCGCCTCTGGCGGGACCACGTCGGCATTCGGCCGAGATACGCTGGGAGGGGGGCACCAGCAAGCAGGTCGTAACAATGACCTCTGACATTAATATCACGCTACCTTGCGTGTTTTCATCAAACAACAATGAATGCAGTTTCAGAGAATCGTGATCGGACACGGTTTGAAAGGAATGTATGGCACGTGGACCACATGTGAGGAGTGCGAGTTACCCGAATGGCGGTTCGGGTGGTTTCATATGAACAAGGGCTTTGACTCGAAGCTGGATAAGAGCGAATCAATTCGGCTCGATCCAGACAATTTTATCCTAGATGGAAAAGGGTCTTCATCGCTCGACAGTCTATGTTCAGCTGTCTGCAACTTTTACGGGTCATAAAAAGCAATAAGATTACAATTTTAACAATTTCCACACTATAGTGTATAGCATCAGTATTGATAATTGCTCTACAGCGCATTATACTAGATAGTAACAACACTATACAAAGTTCCTGGGTAGTCCTGAGAACATCAAACAATAATCTAAAAAGATATTTTTATATTCGTCGGACACCGACGTGCTGTGTGAATTTCCTTCTTTTAGCAGGCGCCACTGGTCATTATGAATATTGATTACTAGTTCAAAAGGGCTTCTGAGATTGCGTAACAGTACGTTGACCCCTGACCGTTGACCCCTGACCGAAGGCGCAACTTGCAAACCGGAAGTCTCGCGCGCAGCAGGTTCTATGAACGAAGTCTCAGAATATACCCAAACGCCAATTATCAGACGCCACAGCGGACACTGTCATCCAGATTTACTTTACCTCAGTGACACAACAAATGAAATGCAATGCATTCAAGAACACCGTACAGTTCAATAGGTTTATATAGAGTTGAGAGTCTGTTAACGTTAACTACAGTATGATTGGATGTGTTAATACATTTACATCAACACGTTTGTTTTTAATTTTACTTGGAAATGATTTTGTGTCTAATTCCCTTGTTCTGACGTTTCATTTCCAATTGACGGATCAGTAGTTTTTCCCCCTGAATTCAACTACATGGTATAAAATTACTTACGTTTTCGTCCTGTGTTCTGTTGTTCGGCATGTTACATCTTGAGTCAAACTGTATTAAGAAAGCAATAGTCTGAAGTTCTTAATTGCGAGATTGCGTTAGCATTTCCAGTACTCTAAAGGCAAACCACAAATACAGGCGTTACAACAAGTTGACCACACGCCTGGCAACTGTATATTGAGCTCGGAAACTAGGCACCAATGTACAAGATTTTGATAAGCCCCTGAGTTTGAGCCAGTCACTTGACTATCTAATTACCTATTCTTAAAAAAAAACAAAAAGGGGCACTTTTAGCTATTGTAGGTAAAATCAATAGTTTTCTTGTAAGTCTATGCTGAAAGTTTAGAAAGTTACATTCAAAAATAGAAGTCTCTGGATGTGTTTCAGAACTGAATCTGGGGTTTCCATTAAACTATTTTATTGATACCTGTTCCTAACAGTGACTCATTGCGGGCAAAAAGGAAAAAAGTGTCTAGATATAAAGCAACTAAAATACCTCTTTCGCCGTGCGTCCTCCCATAACTGTGAATGGAATGAGAAAAGGGTTAGGTGGAAGAGGAGGACAACCCCACATCTTTGTTGTTTAAAGTTATGTGTTTGTGATAGCATTTAAAAGGTTATTCTAGCATGTCGTAAAAATAAAGTATGGAATTGAGTTCCTGATTGAAATAAGCTGTGTTTCATGCTGTTTACCTTCACATAACTTCCAAATGAGACAGGGGTGGAATTTTAGGCAGTTACCACGATGGTATCATAGCATTATATAAATTATGCAAATCATAAACCATTTACAGCATTAATATCTTCCGTTGCTCCTCGTTCTAAATCATAAATGTAACTTTTTCTATCATCGGACAATGTTGATTCAAAGAATTCAGTAAATATGCAGATAATCCAGATTTGATATATCCAGATTTGCATAATTGTAAACTATTTATGTAAGGCATCATTTCAAAAGCGATGATCTGTCAATCAGTTCTTGAGTTATCCTTTAAAGATTTGTAAACAAACGCTTTGCTGTTCTAGATCGAGGTGCTAGGTGGTCAAACTCATGCCACTTCATTATTTCAACTGCCTGTCGAGTGAGTCTAGGGAACCAGCACTGAAAAGGGGAAGTATTGAATACGTCAGGCACGGGGAATTTTATGTTTTCTACGAAAGACCATAGGAACAAAACGTAAAACAGACGACAAGCTTTAACAGACGACGAGCTTAAACAGACGACGAGCTTAAACAGACGACGAGCTTGCTTAAACAGACAACGGGCTGGCTGAAACAGACGACGAGCTTGCTGAAACAGACGACGAGCTTGCTGAAACAGACGACGAGCTGAAACAGACAACGAGC